CCCTCTCCCTCTCCCTCTCCCTCTCCCTCTCTCTCTCTCTCTCTCTCTCTCTCTCTCTCTGTCTGTCTCTCGACTCCCATCCAAGTATCATTCTCTTATCTTACGCATATTTGCATTTTCCATTTCACCAGCGTCGCGGAAGAGCGGTCGCAAGACGCCGCGATCTCGTCGATCTCGCCTGAGAACTCTGAATTACACGTCATTATCGTCGTGATGAGACACCGCGCTTTTATAACGGATAATCAATGGATGAGTGATGCGATGCTGATTTACAGTCCGCCGGATCGGTGTCGAACAAGATCGCGAGAGGAGATCTCAATTTTCTAAACATAATAAGCACAGCGGAGGAAAGTATAGGCATTTTGAAAAGGACTAATTATCATTATCGCGGGAAAGAGAGAGAGAGAGAGAGAGAGAGAGAGGTCGTGGAATTCGTGAGATAACGAATCACGATTCCCTTGGAGGAATCTTCAATAACGCAAAGATGTGACGAAGTTGCAGAAAAGAAGCATCAATTAAAGATTATCGATTCGGCAAGGAGGTATATAATCATCTTCTGCAGCGTGTAATCCAACAGAGATATTTTCTCTCTTTTTTTCTTTTTTTTGACGCACGGATATTAAAGTACGATATCTCTAAATATAAGGTTTCCATACGTTTTGTTATTTTCTCCCCGCTCGGCCGAAGAAAAAGGAAAAGGGAGTAAAAAGGAATCCGACAAGAAGTCTCACGCGAATTTGCGTGTAACGAAGCGCATTTAGCGTCAAATATTTCACGACGCTACGACGTCCGTGTATGCCGGTGCGAGTCGCTTTAATGTCGATTCTCAGCGCGAGAAAAGACGACGGCTAAATACATAAGAATCACGAGCCGGAGTCGCGGCACGCGTTTGTTCATCCTCTCCATACTGACCGGTAAATTCAGCGCGAAATTATTTATCGGCGCGTAATGCCCGCTGAAAGAAATCGGCGTACGTATTGGGCAGATCGAGGGAGGGAACGCCGGCAGGGAGAAAAGAAATGGGCGAAAAAGATGAGAAGAAGAAACCAACGTTACGCAACATTCCGGCGCGTAACCGCGGAGAAATATAATTCCGCGCGTGTCGCGGAAAAACAGGATCTTTTTTGGCGATGAGGAGAGCATAAAACGACGATTACTCTCAGTCGCGATCGATAAAAATACAGAAACCAGACGGTTTCTCGAAAAATATGCGATCCAGCTGGAAAGTGGCACCTCTTCACTGGGAAGAGATACTTGAAAATTTATCCGCGAGATATAGAATTTACTTCTGTGAAATCAATTTCTGTGAATAAACTTAATGTCCCACGCGAAAAAAAATTTCGTTAAACTAACCAAATATCACGAACAAACCGGAATTCCGGTTGAAGTTATCAGAATTCTGCTTGAGTTAACGAGAGTCTGGTTGACCAAACGCGATTTCTGGTTACCTATAACTTGTTTCAAATTACCTATAACTTGTTTCAAATTGAACAACTGCAAGTCCTTGGTTAACTAGAAATAACCAGAAGTCTCATTTGGTCAACGAGAATCTCGTTAACTTGAGCAGAATTCTGATAACTTCACCCACAGAAGTTCGGTGATATTTAGTTAGTCCAATTTTTCTTTCTATGCACGAATAGATTTTTTAGTATCCTTTTCTCAGCACGACCGGCTCTTCCGCTTTGACTCTTTGACGGAGAAAACCGGAGGATCATTTTCGTCGGTAAGCAAGAGCGACGGGAAGAGCCCCGCGATGAAGAATCGCGTTGGCGCGGTGTCGCAAGGATTCGCTGAAAAAGTGACGTGTCCCGCGTCCGGACCGTTGCGTTACAACGACGACGACGACGACGACGACATCGATACTTCGTGCGACGTCGTCGAAGCTGCAAATCGGTCTTCGAGCTTTCAAAGCTCGACGCTTCGCAGTCGTGGTGTTCGTTGCGGTTATTAATAAAATAAACAGGCGCGTTCATTAAGAGGTCGAGGGGAAAAAAGAATGTTTAATTAAAGTTATGCAGAAATGGTAATCACACGCGATCATCGAACAGAAGTATTCCGCGGCACGTCGGATCGGCGGCAGAAGCGGAAATGAAGAAATAAATAATAAGCGCGCTCTCAGATCATGATTTATCTTCGCGCGCTCGCGAGCGCGAGGCGGCCGCGGATCTAATCGCAATATTTCTCATGATTCACACGCGCATTTCCCAGTTTTCACGGAGGGCGCGACGGAGGTATCGCGACCGGCCGCGCCTCTCGATCGAAGACGAAAACCGAGGAGGAGAGAATGTCATCCCCGCGATCTATATCGTTCCGGGAAGAAATGATAGGCTACTGTTCTCCCAGCCTACTCCTTTCATCGTCGCGAGGAAACATTCCGCACTGTCATTTCAGTTAAATCAATCGACTACCCACACACACACATACGCACGTGCATGCAGAGATCTATTACGCGATTTAAAATATGTACAGCGCGCGAGCGCGACGCCAAACATAGTCGCGCGTAATTTCCCGTGCGCATCGCCGTGCGCGACTCGCGCGCTCTTTCCCGTGCAATTTGCACCGGTCGTCAGACCAATTCCAATTAGAGAAATAATTATGGGACGTAATTACCCGGGTTTCCGAGCGACTCGCCGCGCGACGACGATCATTATCGCGCACACAGGCGCGGGACGATCGATGGCGCGAGATCTGCATTCCAATTAGTCGATAACGGTTCCCAGCCGATTCGACGGGATAGCATCGCGCCGGTAAAGCGCCGGTAAAGCGCGCGCACTCGCGATAATTGCTAATGTGCGACCGCTCGCGACCGGGTGAGAGGATCTGTTTGGGATAACACGCTTTTTCTCATTAGCCCTCATCGCGATATAATGTATTGCCGCGCCTAACGCGCGCGTTATGTACACCGCAATCGCGTATAAGATAGCCGCGGCCATGATAATCGCCCGTATTACCACGAGATCCGCAAGCACGGCCGACACAGAAATCGCACGGCAATGTTGGGCGTTAATTGATTCAAATCTTCTTCGACTTGAGCAACGAATCAGTAATCGCGATTAATCAATCGCGATTAATCAACGTAAAATCGCAAATAACTACATCAGTTGATAAAATCAATTATTAATCAAACTTGGTTCATTGTAGACTGATTAATAATTAATTTCATCAGCAGATTAAATTACGTACATGACGATTCATTATAATTCTGATGACTGATTGACCGATTATTTCCAAAAGAAATTTTAATCGATTAATCTCCAATACGGAGGAGAGATATATTGTTCGAGTTAACGTGACGATGACACCATCGAACGCGTTTTAGTTGAAGGAAACAGAATTCCTGTTTCTTACGAATCGAATATGGTTCATAAGAGCAAGAAATATTCTCCTCAACCAAAACGCACTTAATTTTGTCACCATCGCATTAAACCAATTTGCCTTTCAGTGTGAACTATATTCGGCTCTTAAGAACCAGAATATTATTTTCTTTCACCAAAACGCATTTCGAATTCTGTCATTGTCAATTCGAGCAATCTGTCTTCTCTATGCGCGATATTGGTCCCTTCGCCCAGCACCGATGCATACGCGTGCTGGACACCTTGTTCCTCGCGTATACCTTCGCTCGCACTATTCGCGGCCTAAGCCTTTGTCCACAACCTTGCTTTATTAAAATAATAATTGACCAACCATGATTGATTTTTAAAAGAATAATCGACTGTGGTTGGTCAATTTCTTACGGCTTACGTCTATAAAGCAAGGTTGTGGACAAGGGCTAACACGAGGAGACACGATAAAGAGAGAAAGAGAAAGAGAGAAAACGAGCATCTTCATCTGGGAGGCATCGCGGCGCCTTGTCCTCCCGATCGTCGCCACGCCGGATTCTAAGGCAAGGTAAGACGCGCTGATCAGGCAAGGTAAGACGCGACAGTACAAGGCAAGGCAAGGCGAAACACAGCAAGGTAAGGTAAGACAAGGCACGGCACGGCACAGAGAGGCACAGCACAAGGGAGCCGCCCCTCCGTGTGCATGGGGGGGCCCCTCTACTCGCGCCTACCGGGGTCCCAACGCCGTTCAAGAATCATCTTATTAGACCCACACTATATAAAGGCAACGTGCCAGCATGCCGAGCAGTTACGTACTGACTTGATTCACAGTCGTGCGTCGTGCAGAGTGCAACACGTTGCGAACGATAATCACCACGCACTTCGCACACCCTGTTCGTACACGCATGTACACGCACACGCGTCAATCACAATCCCGCCGAACGTATCGATCCGTATCGTTTCATCTCACCCTGCCTGTGAAACCGCCGTCGGCGCCGCCGATAAGGGCCCGCGAGTCGACGACACGGTGATATTTCATCGCGTTCTCCAAGTGGATGCCGTGTCTTGAGATCGCGACGAGATCGAGGTGTATCTTTTTCTCTTCTCGCAAATCAGTGCACGGTCTCGGCGGGAATTTTCGCAAAATTGCCGGCCGACGTCTTTATGTGTGTTGTGTCGCGCGACAATTATCGCGCCATTGTCGAATGACTACATGCGCGACGTCGATTCGTCGCTCTCTTTTGAGAGAGAGAGAGAGAGAGAGAGACGGTGATATGAATAATTTGTTGTAGACTTCGAGTTTTATGGTAGATTTAAGTCATCTTTTCTATCGCTCGCTAAACACAATCGCGTGATTTGCATGCCGTCCACGTATGTTTGTCCTTTCCTCTTTTCTCATATATTGCCAAGGAATTGCCCATTCGCAAATAAGTAAATGAATGAGTAAATAATACGTTTGGATGGTTCTCAGCTTCAGGAAATCGATCACGCTCGAGTATTATGTGAAAATTGCGATAAAATTGCAATTTTCTCTCCAAGAGACGTATCATGAAATATCATCGTGGTCGCGTGTTCCTCACAAGACGGATTACCGCACGCATTATTCAACATCATTCAATGTACCTTTCTCCTCCGCGTTCGTACGTTTATCCGCTCGACAACGAGCCATAGAACATCCTCCGTTGCTCCGTATTCGTTCGATCACGGTTCTCGCACTCGCAGGACGTTAACTCGAAACCTTTTGCAGTGCGTGTTGATTCCACCGAAGGATCGTCTCGTTGTTGTTCCTGCTGACGAGTCAGCGCGGTTTTCAGCACGTCGACCCGCATCATTTAACGTTGCAGCAACATGTATTATCTGCAGGTACGTGTAAGACAATAAATCTGCTCTTCATCGCTTTTCCCGAACTGACTTCTAAACATCCTGTTTTTCTGTCCCAAAATTATCGGGAGATGAACAATAAACGATAATAAATAAAGCTACTCACCTATTATACAAAAATATTCATTATCGTTCAATCTCTATCATCTTCTTTTTTCCATCAAAAGTGCTGAGTACACGGAGAGAATGTTACAGTAAAAATTACTGCACAATCTTGTAACCGAGGAATAGGTTGACATTCTGCAGTAATTAATTATCCTTTCATTTCATATGAAACTGTTTATATTTTAGAAATATGTGCCGTTAAGCTATGTTCTTAGAGAAATTTACTATGTTTCTTAGCAAGATAGACTTTACTGATATTTTTCTGGACTATTAGAAGCATAAAAAAAATCGTAATATTCTTCTCGTATATACAATTAAGGTAAAAATACTAGTACTTGGACACATACCTAAAATTCTGAACGTTCTTATAGTTTTGGCCTTTAAACATAGCCGTTTAAACTTTCAACATAAAATATATATGCATATATTCTATCTTGAAAGTTTAAATGTCTACGTTTGAGAGAAGACCAGAATAATAAGAGCGTCCAGGTAAGTGTCTAGCTATAACACTTGTATCTAAGTTCATTCTAAGTGCAGACGACGCAACTCGGTGTAACTGTGAAGAACAGACTTAATATTTGAGCAGACCAAGCTTGAAAGGGTCGCGCTGCGTAAACGATAATTTTAATAACACTTTTCCCGCTGGCACGCGCGCGCGTCGCAATGAAAGGCGAATATTTCCAAGAGGAATAGATCCTCGAGCATCCGACCGATATGCGTACTCCGCCGCCAATTAACTTATCACGTATCGCAATTAACGTTCGCAAAAGTTCCCGAGTGAATCTTCCTCCGGTGTCGCGTGTCTTCGCTGCTGGTCACGCTCAGATGGACATAATTGCTCGCGAACAAGCGTTGCGACGTCCCGCCCACGAGTTCCGTTAGCGCATTTACAATTATAAGTATAGAAATGCCATTAGCTTGAAAAGCGTGACGCACGGTTTTACAAACGTTCCTGCGAGAGGACCGTCAATCACGCGGCTGACGAATTGATGGATGAATTAGCGCACGGCGGTTACGTATCGTCTCTCTGATGCGCCGCGCGCCTCATTGTTTACAGCCGTCTCTCACACACGTCCCGTTATAATATAATTATAAACGACAGCTCACGATAATTTATCGCGATAAAAGTCACCGCGATAATTATTCACCGTGACAAAAACGCACCGCGGCGGCTAAGCTATTTTTATTCGAGTCGTCCGACACAAACTTGTTGATACGCCGTGCAATCAGATACTCAGGCAGTCTCAACTGTAAGTGCCGATTATCGTTATCGATTAACGTCGATGGAGCGTCGGAAATGTGAGCGACGGTCTTCCAGAAGGAGACGGAGGACGACGACGAGGTGGAGGCTCGTCGTAGAACCTGTCCGTCAGTTCTCACCGCGATTACTCCTCCACTCTAAGACCTTTACGCCGTTTATAAAACTTCGCCACACGGCTTAATCCCTCCGGAGGAGGATTCCCCGCGCGCGCGTTGATAGAACGAATTTGTTATAAATCACTTATGCCGCGACGCTTGATTCATCGTTATCGTCATCATCATCATCCCGGCTTGATTAATCGAACTCTTATCCGCGGCAAATCGATGATCGCCGCGTCTCTTAACATCGTCCTGCATACACGTAAGCCCGGCTCGAGGCGTGGACGGTTAACTAGCTGTCGATCATCGTCTCTTGCGAGTCGCGGAAATGAAATCTCTTCTCATCTTCGTGCAGAAACTGACGAATCTCGCTCAGACAAAGGAGAGCGCTCGCTTAATCCTTTCGAACTCGATATACCTCGTCCTATCTGCATTGTATGAACGTGGAATTTCCAAGACGCCGCCCGGGGTTATCATAGCACTTGGAAAGTGTAATTTTCCTCTAATTTCTGTTTCTCTTTTTCCTTTTTTTTTCCTAAATTAATTGTTTAGATTGATTATTAATTTTTAACTGATTGTCCATCGCTTAGAAACAATTCACGTAAGAATCCAATGTTCTCCTAAGCAGATAAAGACTCGGCACCTGGAGTTATCGTAATGTTTTGAGGATAATTAATTTCTCTCTAATTTCTGTTTTTCTTTTTTTTCTTTTTTTTCTTTTTTCCTTTTTTTTTTTCATTTTTTAGATATTCAATTTGATTATTAATTTTGAATTAACTACTCATCGCCTGGGCACAATTCACGCAAGGATCCAATGTTCTCCAAGCAAATAAAGGCTCGGCTGCGAGGGGATAAATATAAAAAAGATCATCCATAGCCTCGACCGAATCATCATATTGTTGTCATTAGCGCGTCTCATCATTCTCGTTAAACTGTGGAGAAAAGCGATCGTGAGATGGTCGGTGAGATCATCGGCGACGTAACGGCATAATGGACAACGTCGATGCGCGCCCACGCCGAGCACGTTGAATCGATACCGGATAATTTAAAGATGCAATGTGCAATGATATCGTTTCGTAATCTCATGAGTGCGTGCGCGTTACGTGCTAACGCATAATACGTTAATGAGACGTTAACTAACGAGTTTGCGGTCGCATTCGTCAATTGCATCTTACAAGCGCGCGATTAGCCGCGACAGCGGCTTCTCTCTCACGCGGCTTTTCCACGTTTCGACTGACTACTGGAACGAAGTTGCAACACGCATGAAGCCTTGCACCGCCGCCGGTAGCCTTTATATCTTTCTTCTCTTTTTCTCACCCGGCTTCCTTGTGCATCTGTTTATATTTTATATTTAATGCATACTCTCCTCTTTTTTCTTTTGCTCTCTCTCTCCCCCCCCCTCTCTCTCTCTCTCTCTCTCTCTCTCT